AAATGAGATTATTACGCGCGGAGTAGTTATAACCATCAGGCACCTCTAGCTATTATCCTCTATCTTTATGTGTTTTTCTTTATGATCCGAAGGAGATCTTTTAAAAATAAGAGAAACTCATCAATATAATTTCTTCATTCTAAGAAGTGTACGTAAAGTTAAAGCTACATACATACTACTTCCATCCCTTTTTATTTAATTAATCATCCTTGATTTTTCCAATCAAATGCGATAAATTTTGTACTTTTATGATAATATTTTTTTCATACCATTGTCATATTATCAATATTACTGTGTATAAATGTGTAATCGGTCAAAATTTGACTTCATTTACTTGAAAAATAGTGTTTAACTAAATAAAAAAGGATAGAGGGAATACTAAATTTGTGCAACAACTTCAGCCATGCATTACATGTAAAAAGAAAATATTCCATTTGTTGACCCACGACTGTTTGTCATTTTCACTTCGTGTCCCTATCATCCATTTTCCCCTCGTCCTTCCAACCTCTTGCCTTGCTAATTCTCATACTATTGGTATAGTAGTTGATATAAATGGGGATAAAGACGATGTCAACTTAAATTCCACCATTTACCACAAATACTATTACTACTACTAATTACCATATCAACATTTTTAGAGTTAAATTGAATTTGTACTGAATTAATTAACACTATTTTTCCGGGTTATGTACTCCACTGCATACAATATAATTAATGTACTCTTTTGACATTTTCCTCAATAAAAACTAAGCAGACTACATATTTTTCCCCTTTTTCTGAGTCGAATAAACGTATCAATTTATTTTATTTATACAAAAACATCTTCTGATAGATGTATCAATTTTTATACAGAAATACCCAAAAATATTAATAAAAGTCTTAAAAAAAATTCTAAAACTTTTAATTTTGTATTTGAGTATTGTTTTCTATATTCATTTAAGATCTTTTATCCAAAAACTTAGAGTACTTGGACTTTTAATTTCTAAACTATATTTGTTTGACTTGTTTCTCATTTCAAATTAGTGACTTATTGATTATATTTACATTTCGAGATGGATTAATTCAAGGGCGTAGCCAAGAGTAAGAATTGGATTGGGCCGGTAAAAAGAATTTTTACAGATAGATTTTTACACATAAATTTTTACATTGAAAATATGAGCAATTTTAAAATTTACGCTGGGCCGGGGCCTGGTTGGCCACCCCTCCACTTCCGCCACTGGATTAATTAGAACTAGATCTCATCTTCTATCACATTGCCTTTGGAGGATTGAATCTCAAATTTTAGTAGAACATCTTGAAAAGTTGGAATGTTAAGCTTAAAGAGGATGGTTTGAGCTACTTTTCACACTAGTATTGTACCCGTGCGATGTACGGGATAATAATGTACCTGTGTTTTACGTTTCTCGATTATTCAAATATTATCATAAGAATAAAATTAGGTTAAATAAAAGTGAAAACATAATTTACTAATAACTGAATTATTTTAAATATTGAATTGTAGATTTGTACAACCTAATTTATGATTATTTCTCTATATATTAACTATACAATTAATTTATTTAGCTATAATAATAATAATAATAATAATAATAATAATAATAATAATAATAATAATAATAATAATAATAATAATAATAATAATAATAATAATAATAATAATAATCAAGGAACCCGCGGTACAATGCATATCTTATTCTGGTTACCTAATTTTAGAATCGTGAACCGATACAGTTGTTTAACTTCAATTCAGTTCAAAAGTGAGAATATCCCTTGATATACCTACATAGTGTGGGTATATCACACGGTGATGAGATCTTATCATGTATGGACTGGAGTATGAAATAAAAATTGATATTGGGGAATGAATGTCTGATACATTTTATAAAAATTAATTCCACTTTTGGTCCTATGAGTCTTATGTTAATTCCATATTTAGTCCATTTTTACACTTTATCCACTTTTGGTACTTGACTACAATAGTCATGTACCAAAAGTGATTAAAGTCAAAGACGTGAACTAATTATGGAATTTGAGTGATACTCGTACGATCAAAAGTGGAATTTATTCCACTAAAAAACGTGCACTCAAGTTTCCAAAATTAAGTAGATAAATAAATTTTTAATAAATTAAAGTGGAGTACAAATGGATTATTAATTTCAGTATCACTCGGGTAAGTTCAAATTGTTTAATTTTTTGAACCTGGTTTGTCAAAATACACAATTTCAAATATATGTGTGTGTCTTGTATTCATGTATGTTCTTTAATCGTTTTTTTTTGTTTTAAGGAATTTATGCATGTTTTCAACTTAATTTTCAACATAACACTTTTGATCCCTCAATTAGTTATCATATTGAAATTCAAACGCGTGCTTCTAAGATTATAAATGTTAGTCCTAAATTGACATATGTGTTGTAAATGTCATCTTCAGCGAATGACTTGTATCATAGAATTGGATCATAAATGACAGGATGACATTACAACACATCTATCTATTCAGGGATAACATTTATAATCTTAGATACACGCGTATAACATTTCAATATGGCGACTAATTGAGGGATCAAAATGCGATTTTCTCATATAGTCGCCATATTGAAATGTTATACACTTCTACACACTTAATGATTTTCTCATATAGTCGCCATATTAGAAATATTGACACAGCAAAATCATTTACACACTTAATGATTTTAACGAACATTTTGAATTTATAAGGAGTATCTCATTACACGTTGGGACATATATTTCCTAAAGACACATACAACTAACATTTTGACTATGCCCACTTGGATATCTACTCATGCATGGGCGTTGATATTAATAATGAATGGATGAAACCAAACTACAAAGTTCCATTATATTTCTTACTGCATGTATTGATATTGTGATTATGTGATCCCACTCAAAAAGATCCATTGCATTAGAGAGGCTGAAACATGAACAAATTGTTAGTAATACTAAATTACTAACCTATTAATTATAGGCTATAATTACAAAGAAAAAAAAAACTAAATTACTAACACATACGGAGCAATTACAAACATACCTGTTGGACACATGGACAACGATTAATGTCAGACGGTCCAATTGGTGGAGTAGTTTCTTCTTGAAGCAAATGGTTTTGTCTTAAACTTCCATATCATTCGCGCGTCCTGATTTTATTTGTATCAGTTGCAATTTACAGTTTATGTTATTAGGGCAAAACTGCCCCTCCGAATAACTTTTGAACGGTTGTGCAGATTAAAGGTTTTTTTATTAAAACTGTCGTACGTACTTTAGGCGTGGGGTAGTTTTGTCCCGGTTTCCCTTTTTATATTAGTATAGATATACGAGATAAAATATGAATTTGTTTCTAACTATCTTAATAATGTAAAAAAAGTTTCAATTATATTTTTAAAATTCTTATACTCCGTAATTTTTAGTAAATATACCACATAATTTTTACTCCCTCCGTCGCTTAAATTCTTCCCATTTTTCTTTTTGGGATGGCCCAAAATTCTTCTCAATTACTCCCTCCGCGGCTCCGGTCCCCTAAGTTTGGGACAAAGGGGTGTGGTGTGGTTTTTAAGAAAAAGTAGAATTGTGTGGTTGATATTGAATTGATAAAGTGTGAATAAAAAAAACCTTTAATCTGCACAACCGTTCAAAAGTTATTCAGAGGGGCAGTTTTGCCCTAATAACATAAACTGTAAATTGCAACTGATACAAATAAAATCCAGGACGCGCGAATGATATGGAAGTCTAAGACAAAACCACTCAATATCAATTCAATTCAATATCAATTTGATATTGAATTAATAAAGTGTGAATAAAGTAAAAATGAATTCTAACCACTCAAATATTACCAAATATGGTATGGGACAAATTTAGTGATACAGACGAAAAAGGTAAAATGAGACAAACTTATGGGGACGGAGGTAATATCTTTTTAGAAAATTTTGCGTGATTCAATTCATTTACCTTTTTCCTATCCAATCAAAACTATTCATTTCCACTTTATTCCAAGTCAAATTGGAAAAAAATTTGATACACTCCAAGCCCAAGTAATATTCCAGGGGATCCTCAGTGAAGCCATGCCAGTGCAAGAGCCTTCACTGGAAAATTCCCAGAACAATTTGCACTCTTCTCCTTCGCTGGAAGACCGCAGCGTCCATCGGTGACTAGAGTAGTCGCCAGCCGTCCCAAGAGTCGCCAGACCCAATCCCGTCCCTTGATGTTGGTAGATTCCATCCATTTCTCACCGGCCGTCGGTTGGCTGAGTCGCTGCTTCCAATTTCCTTCGGTGGAAATATGATGAACCGTTGAGTGCACACATGGACTTCCAGATAGGCTAGATCAGAGCTCCTATTTTAATTTTAATCTATTGCATATTAGTTTTATATTAAATGTAGCAGTTATTTTAATATGTCTCCTACTTTGTAGGAGTAGTTACGGTAGTGCCAATATGGACTAGGAGCAGTTATTTTCCATCTTGTATTTATGTTTGCATCGGTGAATTAAAAGGGGGACTTTGGACGCTCAACTTCTTCTTCTTCATTGTTTTCTCTTCTTCTCTTGAAACATTCTGCTTCTTATAGTTCCTTCTTATAGTTACCCAGACCTGGGTCCTATCAAAATAATGACCGGTTGAACATTATCATTTTGGCCTCCATTTTCAAATTGACAATGTTTATCGATTTGAACAATCTTATATGGGAAAATCAGAAAGGCAACGAGTTTATTGTGGATGTTAATATGTGGTTGTGTTTATCTCATTGGACTTGAATGATTTTGTGGATTACAGTGTTACTATGGTGAAAAGCCAGCGATGTTAGATCGAGGGTGGGATATGGCGGAAGGGTAATGTAGAAATTTGAATTAATTTTTATTTATTTATATTTTTATTTAATGGCTGTGAATAAAACTTCCCATAGGTGTAATATCCGGTCCAACCCAAAATTAATCCCAGCCCACCTCAAAATTAATTCCAGCCAAGCCCAAACCCATTACCAATTATTCCACTCAACCAAACTTGCGGCCTCCTTGTGCAATTGGCCGAAGCAGCGGAACTACGAAAAGTGCGAAGCATGAGGTCGAAGAGGGAGTAGCAGAGCTGCGACGGAGATACCGGACACTAGCCGACGTAGGCCACCAGATTTTCCGCCGTCCGACGTCCACTCGTTCAAGGTCCTGCGTCGGCCTTCTTCCCTCTCCGACTTTCCGAGTCTGATTTTGCCCTCTGCGGACTGCGGCTCTGCCTCCAGCTCCAAGTATGCACAAATTCTAATACTCTTTTACACTTCGTTTTTTCTTGATTTAATCATTGTGTCATTGGTTAAACATTCTATTATTTTGAGAAACATTATCAATCATTTGAATATTTGATTAACACCGAGGGCCATTGTGTAATTGTGTTTTATTGTTTAAACATTGTATTATTTTGTGACTTTGTGTTACGTGTATTATTTTTTTAGTTTTGTAAATCTATTGGGTTATTAATTGAATTTTTCAGCTCATAATAAAATAGTATTTATCCATTATAAATTTGTAATGATTAAAAATAGAATTAAAGATGAGAAAAAGATTTATTTATTACACAATTGAGGATGAAATAGTGTTTATCCATTATAAATTTATAATGATTAAAGGTAGAATTAAAGATTAGATAATGATTTATTTATTGTGTGGATATGTAAGGAAGAATTCAAAATTTCAATTGAATTTTGAAATACTAGAATCTTTAATAATTGTTAATTAATTTATAAATCACACTAAAACGTTTAAATTTTCAGTTATATAATTTATTCCTATAATTTATAAGTTATCGATAGACTCAAGCCTGAATTGGACCGAACATTACTAAGCTCGAACTCGTCTTGAGTAACTATTCGAACTCAAAATCTAGCCCGTTTTCGAGTTCGAAGCTTGTTAAGCTCGTGTCATTAAATTACATTCGAAATTACGCTCGAACTCTAGTAGTTCGAAAAAAGCTGAGTTCGATAACAACCCTAAACTAAATCTTTGTGTGCAGTAACATTTTTTTTACTGCTTAGCCCACCCCACCCTTCGTTCCTGGATCCGCCCCTGATTGTTACCAGAAATCTTTGTTGGTTGCAGATAGCTTTGCTGCATTACAGATTTTGAGTTAATCATCAATATAGGCACTACAAATATGGGAACTCGAAAGTTGATGTGGAGTACAACTAATTACCTTTTTACTGGGAGCCTCATTGGCATCACTCTATCAGATCGTTATGCCAGTGTAGTATCTGTTAAAGGCATTTCTATGTCTCCAACGTTTAATCCTCATGGAGATGGCCCATTGACTAGTAATATACATTCATACTGTACTTTTTTGTCCTCTGTGTATCCCATGTTGTGGATTGTTATTCACCATCTTTCACCTCATCTTCTAGGGGACCGTGTTTTATTGGAGAAGTTTTGCCTTGAAAAGTACAAGTTTTCTCAAGGTGATGTCGTGGTCTTTAGGTAATTGATCATTACTCAAATTTCACTGCATACATGTATCCAGATGTATCTTGTCTGTTCACTTGTGTAGCTACATGATCTCTTGTACTAATCATGCTCATTTCGCCAGAGCTTGAATGAATGAACTGAGGATCGAACTTTTTAAGTTGTTAAAGTTCGGGCTCAGAAAAAAGTCAATGCAAAAAAGTTTTTTACAATTGGTCTTACATATATGATATACCCATTACCTTGCTGAGCTTCAACATCAGTTCTTTGACCAATTTAATTGTTGTGCACTAGTCTAGAAGTGAAATTAGTTTCTTATGATATGAAAATAGTCGTTTTTTTCCCATGACTGTTGGATCATTTTCACTTTTGGTCTCTGATTTCAAAGTTTTAACGCACTAACTATGCATTTCTTGCCACTTCAGTCATGGTCTTTTCAGGCAAAAATCAATTGGAAATATATGAGAATTAACCAGGCAAGAGGTTGGAAGGACCAAAAGTGAGGGAAAGGGATGATAGGGACACGATGTGAAAATGACACAACAGTCGAGGGTCAAAAAATGGAATATTATCTTTTTTATATGTAATGCATGGCTGATTGGTTGTTGCAGAAAATTTAGTATGTAGCTTTTAACTTTACACTTCTTTGAATGAAGAAATTATATTAATGAGGTTTTCCTCTTATTTTTAAAGATCTCCTTCTGATCATAAAGAAAAACACATAAAGAGGATAATAGGGCTACCTGGTGACTGGATCAGTACACAACAGGATGATTATAATGATGCAGTGAGGATACCAGATGGGCATTGCTGGGTCGAAGGTGACAATGCAGCTTGGAGCTGTGACTCAAGATCTTATGGCCCTGTAAGTAGGTAGCTACATTGCTAGTCTGTGTCTGCTTATGTCCTAACCAATGACTCATGCATAGCATGTGGATTTAGTTTTTTTTTTTTGGATCAGTCATTTTTGTTGAATAAATGCAACATTTACAGGTCCCATTGGGTTTGATTTGTGGAAGGGTCACACACGTTATCTGGCCACCTCAAAGATTTGGTAGTATACAAAGGGAACTCCCTCAAAGCATTTCACCATGATTGTTTTTTTTTTCTTTTTATTACTACTATTATTGATATTGTCATTCTATACAGTTGTTGATTGAATATACTCAATTACTCAAATTGATATTGTTGTTTTTTTGCCATACCAAGAGATACTCGAATTTTGTAATCTGCATGATAATGTGGTTTTTTTTTCGTATGATTATAACAAGGACTATTTGGGTGTACATACATCTTTAAACTTGAATGATTAAGTTTATGTCATATAGTTGACTAAATTGAATGCATAGCTTCTTAACTCGATGGGTCTAAGCGAAAGAGTGGTTAGAAAGGATACGATACAATCCACTATAAAAAGAAAAATAGAACTACTCATCAGTTCCATTTATTTAGGTTATATACTTTTTAACCGTTACAAATTTTACTGCTAAATAATCAACATACAAGTATTCTTTTCTTTTTACCCAATCTCAAAATTATTGTTCATTACTTTTTAAGAATAGCAACACGCGGTTCACACTTCACAATGCTTATGTCTTTTGCTACATACATGAATTTCATTAAGGACACCAATAGTTATGGATTTGAGGGAGTAATAATAACATTGCTCCGTTATGGATTTAGCAATATAGATATATTATAAAATGTATTTTTAGGCTGAAGTTGATATATTTGAATACTAAGAACTTTAAACGACATCTGTCTATTTGTTGTTGAAATCGTCTGTCTTTTTTAAAAGGGGTGGTAATATTCTTCGCGCCAGCTTGAGTGGCCATATACTTTTCTCTAGTCAAGCTTCCAGCAAGAAGAGGAATGATTCGAATTTGACAACCCAAGTCAATGCTCATTACTACGTACTATTCAATTTCCACAATCCAACTAACTTGTGATTTATTCTTTGATCTTCAACATAGCCCTACCCGTAAGCTGAGACTATTACAAATATACAAAATCCGCATAAGGGCTACAAATTTTTTGGACTGATAAATTATCTCTCTTTTCCTTTTCTTGCCCCCCAAATATGAATGCAGTGGAGTAATTTTGATAGTGAGGTTTTTTTCTTTTCTTTTATACACCTGAACTGCAAAATTGTGACCAGGGTTTCTCCTTTTGTATATATTTAAAATATGGAAGAATATAGTACACTAATCATCAGAAGTGGTAACCCCAGAGAGCCTCGGCACCTTCCCCACACTTGTCATGAACATGCTTTATTCTATCCACTGATTTGCATATTCCACTGCAAGGCCAATCGAAAGATGCAACACATGCATTCCCTGCTTGAAGTTTCCATTCACATTCTGCAATATACAAAACTTTTGTGTTTTTCAAAGTTCCCTCACTTGTGTGGCTTGACTAAAGGAAAAGGTAATGTTGTATTGGAGGAAGAGAAGATGAACAATTGATAAAACCTGGCGGGGTTCCACAACACAAATTACGATCATCGATGTGCTCAACATCAAGACCAATCAGCCATGCGCCAAGTGATACATCTTCATTGGCATACTTATGTAAAATTTGCCTGAAATTGGTCACTACATTATATATGTATGCCAGAAACTACAGATAGAATTTGAAAGGGTTAACAACTCTAGTTCATCTTTTACAGGAAGCAAAAAATAGTCATTATTACCCATTGTCAGTTATGAACTTCGCCAAATCTTTTGAGATAGCATATATCTGTCCAGTTGCATGTCTGAAGTACTTATTTCCCATATCTCCAAATCTCCAATACTCAGGTTCATGGTACTTCACATTCCTTGTACCACAAACGTAAACACCAACGACAAGAGTTATATGACAATCATAAAGCTCAAAAGAGAATCCACCACTCATATTAAAAAGATAAAAAGAGAAAAAGAAACTTGAAGCGTATAGTTAGACTAACATACTTGCTGTAAAGAACTGGTCCAGATTTCATACAGCCAATATATACTCTGGGTTTCAGGCGGTGCCGGGAAAGAGTTGCAGCAAGTGCACCTTCATATGAGAATTAGTATATAAATAAGTCCATTATAGAATACCATAAAAAACTGCAGCCGAATTATTGTTAGCCATGCCACATTGGTGTAACATTAAAAAAGTAAAGAATTAATACCTGACTTAGACCCTCGACTGTACACTATTTTTTAACGTGGTCCTCAAGTACGCATTTTAACTCAAGTTACTTCGCACATACATTCTAATCCAGAGGGGGGCTAAATTGTGTCCAAATGATATAGTTGAGGACTAAATTGATTCTGGCAACTAGATCTAGGTTTATTATGAAAAAAATATCCTTCTTTTTAGAACCAAACATTGTGAAAATGTCATGGTTAAGGACTAAGTTGAGGATCAAGTATATAGTCGAGAGATTACATTATGCATTAACTTTAAAGAAAGAGAAAAAAGAAACTACCCAAGTTGACATGAACGTCATCATCAATCTTGACATAGAAGTCAGCATCCCATCTTGCAAAGGCAGTGGAAATGAAAGACTTCGTCTTTGCAGTCAACTCATGATATCCTTCTATGTGCTCCTAAACAGTGCCATATGAGAAACAAATGCAAGGTGACTAGAATAAAACAATATGATAGGTCTTGTTTGGTTTTCAGGATTTTCAGCTGCTTTTTCTTTGAACTAGAGTTTGAAGCAAACCACCGACGCCCAAATTAATGAAGCCAAATATAAAAGCATTGAAGATTACTTACAAGCCTAAGAATGTCTTTATGCTGAGCATCTTCCAGATCAACTGCTTGGTCTAATACGCTATTGGATGTTGCACTGAATCAAGAAGTAAGGCTATTAATAATAACATCATAACGGTCTAACCCACCTATTTTCACCACTTACAAAGTAGCCTTGAAGCTGAAGTTCATATAAAATAACAGATTAAATTATTACCTGTGGCCTATCATAAAGCGCACAACAATTCCCTTTTCTTCTTCCAATTTAACCAGCTTCTCACCTAGTAAGTTTTAAAAATAATAAAGAAAAACAAGGTCAGGGATAAAAAGGGCGGTGAAATAATTAGTGACATGAGATTTAGGTTCTGTTTGATTTTGGTAGTGGTAGACTCATCTGACTTATTCTGCATATCAACAGAATAAGTAGATTTGCAGAGTTGCCGACTAACTTATTTACCTGAAATGGATGTTACCAAAAGTTGTGTTTTCGAAAAACTGCATATTCTCACCCATTTCAGCAAAACGCACACATACCAAACGGGCCATAAATCACATGAAGTCATTTACAATGAGCACCTTGAGGAAGCCATGTCTGTCTAACAGAATCACGCCTCTTTCTGCTACTGAAGGCTGTGTTTATCCCAATAACCATAAAAGCTTTCTTCCTTGTCCCGATTTCCTCAGTCTTCTCCTCGTCCTCATAACTCTTGGACAATGACAGCTCATCTTGAGCTTTGGAAAATGGAATTTCGGAGCTTCTAATAAATCGTAAAACATCAACAATCGTAAACTTTGACAAAAACACACAATTTCGTAATTAAAGTGCAATGCTTAATTGAAAATTAATTAATAAACATCATATCATCAATGACATATTCAAATTTTCTGAAACAAGGGAACAGAAACTACTGATGATACACATTCATTAGTCATGAATGGTGGTGATAAAGAGATTGATTCATCATATCAACACTCACTGGTTGGTTTCCTGGACTTTGCTGAAGTCACTAATTACTTTCTCGTTGTCCTGAATGAAAAAGGAAACTCAGAAATTAAACGGAAAAGATCACCACAGGCACAAAACGAAATAAGAAAAAGAGAAAATTTAACAATCAAAATCAGAAGAAGGGATTTGGGGTCGGACCTGATCAGCCTTGGTGCCGCAATCGTCTAGCTTTTCTGGTTTAATGCGGCGGCCGAACATCATCCTGCCATCATCCATTTCAAGAGGAGCCCATACTCTAAAATGGATTTGCATATAATAATAAAATAAAAGTTCGAAACTTTTTGCTTGGGGTATTGAATTGAATAATAATGAATTGATAATCAGAAAGTGAAAACAAACTTGCTGGAAAAAAGCATGCCAAAGGCGAAACTGAGAACGGAGAAGAGGAAGATCCATTTGGGGGAAACTCTGCCGCTTCTGCTGCTTCGGGTCTTCATATTTTACTCGAATTATTTCTGAATTCGGAGGCAGAGCGCGGGAGATTCTTCCTCTCAGCACATTTATTATTTCTTCATCATAAATAAAAACTGGTCTGAGATTTGTAAGCTCTGAGGGAGAAACATATGTGTGATTGAATAGAAAGGATTGAATAGGAAAGCATATTTATGAAGGAGAGAAGTTTGTTTCAATTCCCGTCTTCCAAATCTTCCAACTTTCAACCCCTCCATTACGGCCGGTCAGATGGTGATGACACCTTTTATTTTCCCAGCTTGATTTTATGTTCTCAGCCGTTCTCAAAAAAATAAAGGTAAGTGCAATTTTTTTCCATCTATGCCCGACGTGTATTTATCACTTCTTCCCCTTCCCAACTTTCTTTATTTAATTATTATCCCAAAACAAATTAAAAATATGACATTTTTTCTTTTTAATACTATCTTTGTTTTAAAAGGATAAAGTAGTTTTTACACTTCTAAGTTCTAACCATAATACTAATTAAAAAGGCGGCCTCTCCGGTTTTGTTCTTCCGTTTTCGTCGTTGACGAGGAGCTACCGTCGGTAGATTTTGGTAGTGCTAGTAGGCTCATGAATAGGGATGTAGCGCTTTGACGGCCGTGGCTTGTCTTCTGTTGTTGTTTCTGGTCGAGGGGCGAGAGTAGACAAAGAAAAGGCAGATAAGTTGTGGCGGAGCTTGGGTTCGATTCAGCAACAAGGGATATCAATGGAGGATATCGTCAATCAATACAAAAGCATGACTATTGAGGCGGACGAACGGCAGGCTCGTCCCCCTCCCGAGCCGCCGCCATGGAGTGCAAGAGAGTCTAGGGTTTGGAAGAAGATGAATGAATTATGGTTTAATTCCGTTTTATTTTGTTTTCGTTTTTCTTTCGAATTACATGTTGTTTTGGATGTGTTCTTATTTCCTAGTAGAGAGTTTCTAGAGTTTAGGTCAGGTGATGAGAAGTCCGGTTTGACATTCATTGGCTCAGTACTCATTACTGGATTAGCGAATGTTATTGCTTCTACAGAGGTGATGGATTCTAAGTTTGGTTCTAGGGCGGACGGCAGACAAAAGGCTTTTGTGATTTAATATTTTTGTTAGTTTAACGATAAAAAAATATTATCTTTGTTTTATTTTATGTGTCTTATTTTGATTTATCACAATTATGATGTTTGTATTTGGACTGAATTTGCTGGTTTGACCTCCTTTGTTTAAGTCTGGTATGAACTGATCTGGTCTGAACTAGATTGGTATGATCTGGTAAATGTCAGATCTTTGTGTATTTTATAACTATAGAAGTCTTGTCTGGTCTGGTATATTTAAGTTTGGTCTGATCTGATATGTTTAAGTTTGGTCTGGTCTGAGACTGAAAACAATCCAAAGTAAAAACATTCTTATTAATAAAGAGGTTGCAAAAATTAAGTTATGATTGAGATTGAATATAATAAAGTGAAACAACGTGAGTCACATTTTTTTTTAAAGGATCACATATTTTTTTTAGAAAAACAAAATGTGATTTTATTTTGAGAAAACCTAAAATGAAAAAATAAAAAAGGTAAAATTGTTGTGAAATGAAGAAGATGAAGACTAAATAAAGAGATAGATATATTGTTAAAAAGCTCTAAATAACTTCTTCTTAATCTCTGAAATTTCTCAGTTTCTGAATTTTTTAAGTATCTTTACAAGTGATTGATCAACCCCTATTTATACTAGTTGGGCTTGGTGATGAATCATCAAGGAGTAATTCTACACATCTTGCTGGCATCATTAGAACTTGCCATCTATCTATCTATGATTACAAGGATGGTAAGAAGCTTAGTGTCCTGATTACAAGGATAATGACAAGGATGAACAATTCACACTTGTCATTTCCTGGGTTTTACAACACTCCCCCTTGAATGTTCATCCTTGAGAATAGTTATTTGTATTTAAAAATTTATTGTGAAGATTAGTGTGAAAATTAAGGGGTAAAGATTATGACATATAATGTCGTTGTATTTGGATGTACTGTCTCGTTAAAAACCTTATCAGGAAAAACCCAATGGGATAAAAACCTGATGAAGGGAAAAAGAGTGCAGTGCATTCAAATACTCCCCCTGAATTTAGCATAAATTATTAAGGCGGCGCATGCCGATTTTCTGTACAAGTTCAACGAATTTCTTCGGGGGTAAAGATTTGGTGAAGAGATCGGCTGGATTTCCAGTGGATCTGATTTGCTGAACGTTGATCGTCCCTTCTTTCTCAAGGTCGTGAGTAGAGAAAAATTTTGGAGATATATGCTTCGTTCTATCTCCTTTGATGTAGCCTTCTTTAATTTGAGCTATGCACGCAGTGTTGTCTTCGTAGATCACAGTCGGGTGACAAGTAATAGGCTTCATACCGCATTCATTTTGGATGTGTTGAATCATAGACCGCAACCACACACATTCTCTTCCGGTTTCATATAATGCAATTAACTCCGAATGATTTGATGATGTAGTTGTCAATGTCTGCTTCATAGATCTCCATGAGATTGCGGTGTTACCATAAGTAAATACGTACCCGGTTTGTGATTTCGCCTTTTGAGGATCTGATAAGTATCCAGCGTCTGCATATCCGATTAAAGCAGCTTTTGCATCTTTGTGGTAGAATAAGCCGAGATCAACTGTACCACGTAGATAACGGAATATGTGCTTGATCCCGTTCCAATGACGTCTTGTTGGGCATGAACTGTACCTAGCTAATAAATTTACAGAAAATGCAATATCTGGTCTAGTATTATTAGCTAAATACATTAAAGCTCCAATAGCACTCATATATGGTACTTCAGGACCGAGTATTTCTTCGTCGTCTTCTCGGGGACGGAATGGATCATCGTGTATGTTGAGAGATCGAATGACCATTGGTGAAGTCAAAGGATGAGCTTTGTCCATATAGAATCTCTTCAACACTTTCTCGATGTAATTGGATTGGTGGATGAAAATTCCATTCTTCAAATGCTCAATTTGAAGTTCGAGACAAAATTTGGTTCTCTCGAGATCTTTCATTTCAAATTCTTTCATAAGATATTTTGCAGTATTTTCAATTTCATCGGGAGTTCCAATAATGTTTAAGTCATCAACATATACTGCAATTATGGTGAATCCCGAATTTGATCGCCGAATGAAAACACATGGACTAATCGGATCATTCTTATATCCTTCTTTGAGAAGGTATTCACTGAGACGATTATACCACATTCGTCCAGATTGTTTTAGTCCATACAATGACTTTTGTAATTTAATGGAAAACATGTCTCGAGGTTTCGAGCTATAAGCTTCAGGCATTTTAAATCCACCAGGAACTTTCATATAAATGTCTGTATCAAGTGAACCATATAGATAGGCGGTCACTACATCCATTAGGCGCATTTGCAGCCTTTCAAAAACAGACATGCCAATGAGAAACCTTAATGTAGTTGCATCAACTACTGGAGAATAGGTTTCTTCATAATCGATTCCCGGCATTTGAGAAAAACCTTGGGCGACAAGTCGGGCTTTATATCTAACAATTTCATTTTTCTCATTGCGTTTACGCACAAATACCCATTTAAAACCCACATGTTTTATGCCTTGGGGCGTAGGGACTATCGGTCCAAAAACATCACGTTTTTCAAGTGATTTTAATTCAGCCTGAATAGCTTCATTCCATTTTGGCCAATCTTGTCGTTTCCGACATTCTTCAATTGATGTTGGCTCATTGTCATTGTTTTCATTCATAACATTTGTGGCAACGGCATAGACAAATATCTCATTAATATCAATATCTTTTCGATTCCATTGCATTCCAGTAGAAACGTAATTTATTGAAATTTCATAATTATCAACGTTTCTATCAGTATCTGGAATATCGTCCTCATTTAAGGAAGTTGAATCATTATTTGAGATGTTTGTTTTGTCAATATCATTTTCTATGCCAGTATTTTCAAATTGTTCATTTTCTTGTTCAGAAGGATGAACATCTTTGGCATCACAGATCAATTCCTGCCTTTTAGTTTTTCTTGGTTTTATATCTTTTGATCCAAGTGGCCTGTCACGCTTTTTGCGTATAGAAGAATCAATTGCAAGAGATTTTTCAGAATTCTCTGCTGGAATTTTGATTCTGGCAGGAGCATTTATAGCAGGAATATGTGACTTTGTCACTTTCTTTGTATCTGTGAATGCATCAGGCAACTGATTTGCAACATTTTGTAAATGAATTATCTTTTGCACCTCTTGCTCACATATATTTGATCTAGAATCAAGGTGTGATAATCCTGTTGCATTCCATGTTATTTCTTTCGTACTTGGGTCCGATTTATTAGTTTCTCCCCCTAAGGTTGGGAATACTGCCTCATTGAAATGACAGTCAGCGAATCGTGCGGTGAATAAGTCACCAGTCATCGGTTCAACATATTTTATTATTGAGGGAGATTCAAATCCAACATAAATTCCCAACCTTCTTTGAGGACCCATTTTTGTACGATGAGGTGGAGCAATCGGAACATAAACAGCACAACCAAATATTTTTATGTGTGCTAAGTTTGACTCTTGTCTAGTAACTAATTGCATTGGGGAATATTCATGATATGCAGTCGGTCTAAGCTGAATTAAATTTGTTGTATGCAAAGTAGCATGTCCCCAAGCTGATGAAGGTAAATTACACTTCATTAATAATGGTCTAGCGATTAATTGTAATCGTTTAATCAAAGATTCAGCAAGACCATTTTGTGTATGGACATGAGCAACAGGGTGCTCCACATCAATCCCAATCGACATACAATAGTCGTTAAATGATTGGGAAGTAAATTCTCCTGCATTATCAAGTCGGATTCTCTTTATAGAATGATCCGGAAAATGAGCTCTTAACCGTATAATTTGAGCAAGGAGTTTAGCAAATGCTAAATTTCTAGTCGATAAAAGACTAAC